CCCCAAAACCCCAAAACCCCAAAACCCCAAAACCCCAAAACCCCGAAAAAAGTCTAAATTATTGAAATTTTAATATAAATTTTGATTGGTTCAAGTGAGATTTGGGCTAAGTTTCACCAGCCAATTTCTTCTCTCGGAAGGTTATGATGTAGTCAGAGCTACAGTAAGTGGAGTTAGCACTATTGCCACCGAAGATTATGAGAGAATCATCGTTTATTTTGGCCATTGTGTGGTTTGCACGAGCTAGTTTAAGCTCATTTGGAGAGATCACCCTGATCCATTCTAAGGTGTCCAGCTTGAGAGCGAAGATATCCCCCAGAATAAAGGTTGTAGGCTTCTTAGCCAAACCAGTGCTTTCAAAGAGATTTGATTTTCCTTTGGATAAGACTAAGCTCGATCTTGTATTTATGGATGAAATATTTTGGGATGTCCTTCCTCCATGAATTACCAAGAGATTTAACCTTGCCATATGGACCATGCAGTGTTGATACCGTGGTCATGGGGGTTTCCCAAGAGTTTCTGGGTACATCCAGTAATTTTGCATCTGCATTTTACCTAACTTTAGTATTTTCAGAGTTCCATCCACCTAGGTTTAGTTAGTAATGACTTACCTCGCTTCTGGAATTTCTACCTCCAAATATGTAAATCCCTTCTTCTTTGATCAGGTGCTCAACTTTGCCCCAATTTGGAGGTGGAAGTTCGCTAATTTCAAGCTTGTCCTTGTTCTCATTGTATCTATCTGGGTAAAAGATTGGGGCTCAGGTAGCATATCAGGTGCCTTCAATGGGGTTCTTCACTTCAAGAGGCTCCCACTCACCGAAGTTGATATCGTAGATATCAAGATCATCGAGGACCCTTCCGAGGTCGTTGATGCCTCCGAAGGAGAGGATGAACCTTCCATACTTTGCAATGCAATGATCTCTCTTCGGGGAGACTATATAGTCTCCTTGAGGGAGACCTTCTAGTTCTTTCTTATGAGTGTCGAACCTCATCAGCTGGCTGGTTCATTGCCTGCTGATGTTCAGCTTCTTGTTCTGCAGTACTTTATCTGGATCTGTCCCATCAGCATTGGAAGCTAGATAGTGTTAACCAAAAGATTAATAATTCTTACGTGTATTTTTGAGGGCGAGATCTGCTCCTCCAAATATGTAGATGTATTGCTCATCTACACATGTAGCTTGGCTGAACTTGCTCTGAAGAGAGTCATGGTTCTTGACTTCAAGGATCTTCCAATCAAGTTTTGGATTGGTCAAATTCGGAATTGGTATTGTAACGATCTGTTTTATGCCATGACCATTAAATCCTCCTATGAGGTACCCTTTAAGGGTCCCTTTAGCTGTTGGGACTACATCAAGTGTACATAATTCACGAACTTGGGGCCGCCAAAGCTTGGCCTTAGTAGTCTGAGCCTGGATATAGAAGGTATCTTGTTCCTTGATGTTCTTCTTTATTTGGTAAAATTTTAAAAATGTTGGTTTATTTCAGGTGAGCTTCAGTTCTTCCATGGTGAAACGTAGCTTTTGTTCCTTATTTTATGAGATATCCATCTATAGCTTTCTGCTTGTCTTTGAAGAAGCAGTATCCACTGCTTGGAGTATTGCTATTGTAGAAGCTATAATTGTTCTTGTTAGGTGATCCTTTATGAGATCCTCCATCTTTCTTGCTCCTCATTGAAAACTCTGAAGAAATGGCTCTTGAGCTGTCAAAGAAGTTGTTTGAAGTTTTGAGTAACTTCTTTGTTCATTTATTTAGATATCAATTTGGCACATTTCTCGTTCATCCATTTATCCTCGATCTGAAATTTTGGAGTTGCTAGATGTAATTTAGACCCTGTAGAGAGGTTTGGAGTACCTGATAGGGAAAATTTTGGTCGATGACTTTGCTTTATCTCCTTGTCAACGTATTTGTCAAGGACCTCTTGCCTCTCCTGAGATTTTACCTTACTCCTCTTAAGATTAGTCAAGAAGATATTAGAAGGCTGGTGTGTGAAAAATTTGGTATTGAGTTCGTCCAGATTCTTATAGTTTAAGATTGTTAAATTTTTGTTCGTTTTCGAAGCTTTTACAGGAAAATTTCTAAACCATTTCATGCTTATTAAACGATGCCTTCTCTCCAACGCTTTTATTGCGGTAATGGGCTAGCATCTGCCTTGGAGAGGTGGCATCGTTCAAGATAGATCTTTTCCTGTTGTCAGAAGTCAGCGGCTTGAGTATCTCCATCTTAGTCTTGCGGTTCTGGTAACTTTCAAGCACTCTAATAGTCGGCATCTTATGCATGAGGCTTTGTTGTCTGCGCCTCTCTTGTAACAAATTCTGGTATTTCACTACTTTCATCCTTTGAAGCTCTTGGAATCTGCTTTCGACCATATGTTTGCTCTCATGGAGCTTATCGGCTGCGTCTCTGAATCCTTTGTAGTTCATTTTATTTATAAATTATTTCTGGGGTTTTGGGGTTTTGGGGTTTTGGGGTTTTGGGG